TTCCCAAAGGGCCCACGGTCTCTATAAAATGCGACGCCTAGAGTTTCGAATGTCAAATTTGGGCATTTATCTTCCCAAATCTCTCTGGATGCATTTCATAGAGACCCTTCTATTCCTTGCCTTTCCCTTCTCAAAGAGCCCATGGCTTCTATAAAATGCTACCCCTATAGTTTCCAATGTCACATTTGCAAATTGTGTCTCTCTTGAGTCATTTTGTAGGGACCCATCCCTTAGTCCCTTAGTGATATTCCCTTGCTCAAAGAGCCCATGGCCTCTATAAATGATACGCCTGGAGTTGTCAAGGTCAAACTTCAACAATTTTCCTTCCAAATCTCTCTTGAGGCATTTTATAGTGTCTTGCCCTTCCCAAAGCCCATGGCCTCTATAAAATGCTACACTTTATGGTCCCTTGGGGCCTTTCCCTCTATAAATGCTATGCCTAGAGTGTCCAATGTCAAATTTGGACATGTATCGTCCCAAATATCTTGAAGGACATTGTATAAGAACCTTTCTGTTCCTTGCCCGTCCGTTTCCCAAAGAACCCATTACCCATGGCCTCTATAAAATGCTACGCCTAGAGTTTCCAATGCCAAATTTGGGCATGTATCCTCCCAAATCTCTCGAGGCATTTTATAGGAACCCATCCCTTATTGTCTTTCCTCTCTATACAATGCACCGCCTAGAATTTCCAATGTCAAATTTGGGCATTTATCCTCCCAAATCTCTCAAGGCATTTTATAGGGACCTATCCCTTGGTGCCATTCCCTTTCCCAAAGAGCCCATGGCCTCTATAAGATGCCACACCTAGACGTTCCAATGTCAAATTTTGGTTTTTATCCTCCCAAATCTCTCTTGAGGCGCTTTAGAGGGAACCTTCTGTTCCTTGCCTGTCCCTTACCCAAAAAGCAAATAGTCTCTGTAAAATGCGACGCCTGGAGATTCCAGTATCAAAGTTGAATATTCCTCTTTCCAAATGTATTGAGGGGCATGTTATTAAGACTTTTCTGTTCCTTGCACCTAGAGTTGTCATCACTTCAGCAAGTGGCCTGCCTTGATTCTTATAACTTATCAATCAACAAATTAATTTCTATAAAATGTTCTTCTTTGCATCATGATCAACGACTATCAAAGGCCTCCTTTTGGCTTACAATGCGCTCTACCTGCCTCATTGCAACACCGCCCCACATAGACCATAGACCACACACCAGCACACATGTCCTCTATATTGATTTCCGTTGAAAGAAAGTAGTTACCATTTCGGGGGCATTGTCATACACGGGGGATGTTCTTAGACATTTGCAGAAAAACAAACAAACAACATGATTCTCGAAACTTTTCTCGTGCTTTCTTTCTTGTCACTGCCCCCAGTAGGGAAACGTGGTAATCGAAAAACTTGGGATTGATTCCACGCCCCTTCTCTATAAATTGACTATCAAAATCAAGGTACTTTGGAACATCACACGCACAAGATCTCAATAAAATTACTACCAGGCTCAAACAACACTACACTTCGAAACACGCAGATTCTCTATAAAATGTAGAATCCAGGTTTCAATAAGCCATTGATTTTCGACATGTCCGCGACAAAAACGTGCGTCTATAAAATGTATGCCAGGCTTGTACCTTAACCCTTCTGGAACATCCATCAAGCATGCATTCCTCTCTATGTAATGGGGTAACCAGGCCACACACAACTCAGTTCCCCAAGCGCTCTCTATAGAATGAAAGGCAAAAATGCATTTTAGAGAGGAAAGCCCTTCGCATTTTATAGGCCCCCACCCGCGGGGGATCGTTGAATTGTTTTTCTTTTTAGCAGGGGGGGCAGTGGACCACTATCACTCACTGCCCAACGAATACAGTGATAGATCGGTCGTGAAGCAATGCGGGACGCCGCATTGTGTACCTGCTTGATTTTTAGCATTTGCTGAGTTGCGCTTGACCTTCTGCAGACATGCACGGAACGCCGTCACTTCGACCTGATCACCGACCTCGTTCTTACGCTTCGGGCCACCTTTCCTTTTGAAGACCCCCAGGATTCGATGGCTTCCTACTGATACTCTTAGGAAATGGAACCCTAGGCTGGCGTGTGGCACCGCTATCAGTTCAGTACACCCTATCCTAAGTGTGTGTCTCATGCTTTGTGCTCGGTACCACATGCACCGAATTCTCATCCACCCGTCGCCCCTGGTGGATTCTGTGTGTCTCTGACAGTGTTATCTGCTCTAGGAAGGTTTTGTGCACCTTTCATTCCAGGTGATGTGGAGGTGTTAGGTGTGCAATCCATCCCCATTCTGCAAGGCGCTTCTCTTGGGCAAAACATCTACTCTGCTGGGAGATGCCTTTTGATTGAATACTGAAAAAAAACAAAAAACAAAAAAACAGTTGGCACCGTTGGTATGACCTTTCAACGAATTCGCTTCATCCAGGTGAAACCATCCCATCGGAGTCTCTCCATCCCATCGACGGTCTCGTGCCGGTCTCTCACCTTCGACCCGGCCCGGGGGACAACTCTCGGGCCCCGCCGGCATCCATCCAATTGAGTCTTGGTCGATCCAACAATTCAGCAACACCCAATGGGTGTTCGGAAGAGTATGTTCAGTATTGGTATTCACATGCTCTATTCACTTCAGGTATTTGGTGCATTTGGGTGCGTCGATGCTCAATCCACACCCCTGAGCCCCACAGAGCTCGTCACCTGTGAAGGTCGGCTCTTCACGCGGCTTCCCAGGCTGGCCCAACCGGGGGTCGTGCCGGCGGTTCTTACTGACGGGTCGACCATGAAGTGTTCTGAGTCAAAACTTAATAAGGAGAACCTCCAACCGATTGGGTCTTTGACTATTAAAACTTACTATATGTGTTGTTATATCTTAGGTCTTCCGGGGTGTCCAAGAAGTTGGATCACCCTGTTCCACGCCGCTCAAGTAGAGCCGAGACATCACCGCCTGGGACTCCTCGGCCAAACGGTCCACGGCTTCGGCGGCGCGCCTCGGTCGAACGAAGCTCCAAACCACGGCTTCGGCGTCCAACGTGGCCACTTTGCAACGTGAACAGGTGAGCAAAGCGGAAAAAAAAAAAAGGGTCCACCCGCCTTGGGGCCCACTCAAAGGGGGGTCCAATTCCCTTCAGTGCTGGGAACCAAACCCATTTTTTCCACTGCTCCTCGTCTTAGGCTCTGCGTCTGGCGTCTTAGCCCGAAAAAAAAATTGAAGAAGATGTTCTCCACACAGCTTTGCCTCTCAGGCATCCATATTCTTCGGCCAAACCTTGGTCTCCTTCGAAAAGAGGTCGTAGAGTCTACGCTCAGTGACCTTGACTCGGCCACACCACCCCCAATAATCCGCTCCACTGTCTCAGCCTGCTCCACTCGCGCTCGGCCACCGCGCTGGGACTTCGCCAGGGACAGCGCCACGTTCTGCTGCGCCCGCTCTACAGCTGGCCACGCGGCGCGATGGGGCGTCGATGGGGTATCGGCTTGATGTTCGCGCACGGGTTCGCCTGGAAAATCGTATGTTTCAGTCAGTTGGTTCATCCTTGTGTGAGATCCGTCAACATTTTTGGAAGGACATCCCCATTCTATGGGGTAGCTTGTATATCATCTTGTCTGTCAAACGTCTCTAGCAAACAAATCCTCTAGCAGCAACTCTGACAGCCTACTCATATTTATATATATATATATACCCTGGGTGTCAAAATAGATATATATATATATAAAGAATGGTCTTTAGGTGACCTGAAAAGGAATTTCCTTTTCTTCAGTCAGTCAAAATACAGTACAAATGGTTTTTGGACTTTTGTATCTTCGAGAGGGTATAGTCATTCTGCAATCCCACTAGCTACCCTGCCTACCCGTGGCACCCGAAAAACGTGCCTTGGCGATACGGCTCCTGTGTGCGGAAGGATGCGGTGCGCGGAATTGCCCGGTATGGACGATCAGAGGCCAGAGTTGAGGGTGGTTCAGGGTAATTAATGTCGACACTATACCAACATATACCAACTGAGTTTGGATTCGGGAACTCCATGGCTTCAGCCTCTTGCCTCTTTCCCAAGTTTCTCTCTCTGTGACATCACAACTTCTAGCCACACAACCGAAGTGCCACTCGTGGCAGTTTCCGGCGAAACTGATTTCCCCCAGTCTGTGACTCTCCAAGTGACGGAAAACATGCGTCGCTTGCGCAGCGACGGAAACCGCCGGATCTGTCACTGGGAGATCCGGACACAAGGCCCGTGGGTCACCAGTGGGTACCACGATCCACCGCCTTGCCATTAGTGGACCGGGAGCCTATGGCCTGTTCTCCAAGCCTTTGGCCATGGGCCGCATCAAAGCTCACACTCTTCCAGTGCCACAAAAAGACCCCGGAAAAATGCCCAAGAAGCAGGCCCAGCTGCCTTTCGTGAGGAATAGGGTCGCCCCAAGGTTGTCCAAGTGTCATTTAGCACCACTCAACAACCAGTATGCTGATCAGCGATTTTGGGGAAACCTGTCCTAGTTCCAGATTTTAAGGCTGCGAGACTAGATGTTGAATCTCGATAAACAAGCCCCCAGATAAAGATAAAATGCGGACTTGATTCTCTGGAAGCACTCTTGCGCGAGGTCCGAATCAACCCTTAGATGCATTCTCAGCCAGCACAACTCTTCTTCCAACCTCCTTCACTCAGCCCCTCCTCCGCCTTCGTCTTGGCAGCCACACGCACAGCCTTTGGAAGGGTACAACTGTTCAGCAAGCATTTGTGAAAGACAGAAAAAACGTCTACCTTGCCACAAACATGGACGACCTGCCACAAAGGGGATGTCGAACTTCGACCCAGTCTCTATATGTGAGTTTTGTGGGGAAAATCGCAGGCAGGATGCCCTTGTGAGCAACAGAGTGAACCATCCATACCACCATCAACGGGTCATTCCCATCATCTGCCAGGTACTGATATGAGGCCCCCAGAGTTCACCCTGAGTGGGGAAGGTCTTTTTGGGGACGTTGAGATCTGGTGGGGTCCCGATGATCAACAGGGTCTTGCATGGAAATTGGATTCACGGAAACCCAAAGGGCATGCCTGGGTCACAGGTGCCAGAATTTCATGTGCTTGAGTCCTATGTCCATTTCTTTTGGGGGGCAATCTTTGTCAGGGTCATTGGTCACCAACCTTCCCGGCTTTGCCCCAGCCTCAGGGGATGGGGTGGGCTCAGCGGCACGGCCTGCGTGGTGGAAAAGTAGATACGGAGACATGATGCATCTGCAAGAATGCATTGACTGGCTCAAAGGAAGGAGCTTTTGCGATCTTCGAAGTCTATTTGAGGGTCGCTACGCAGACTCGAGGATGAGGGAGGGTGTCGGGGTCACGTGGATCAGGTTGCTAATTGAAAGTTGGTCCATCTCTTCAACTGTGCATGTGCTTCTCTGTCCAAGGCCAGACTAGACAACCAAAATGTATTCTTTTTAATGCAGAAACTAGGCTGAAACTAAAAAGGAGAAGAAAGAAGGAAAGAAAGAAAAAAGGAAAGGACAAAAAAAAGAAACAGCAAAGAAACAAAGAAAGAACACAAAATAGGACGTAATATACCGTATATAATAGAAAGTCTAGGAAAATATCTGAACCCCTGGCGTCCATTTGGGAAGTCCTGGGCTCCTGGCGCTCGGCCGCCATGTACGCCTCCCGCCGCACCTGGACAATTCATGACCCAAATTGACCTAAATGCTCTAAACTTCGAGTTCAACCCACATTTTGGCAAAAACAAGAATAAGAAGCAAGATGTTTCTAGAGATGATCTAAGATGAGCCGATCCGATCCACCCATCGCACACATATAGGTTCCACTCTAAATCATTGGTTCAATCGCCCATGTCCATCCCTTCTTTCACCTTGTATATAGCTAGACAGCTAGACAATGGCAATGTTGATACAGACCCTGATAAAGTCCAGAGAGGGGCATGCATAGACGAGGGAACTTGGCCAAGCCACCGACCCATATCTTGTTCACTGCTGAAACGCCTAAGTTGCAACACTGTGAATGAGGATCTTTTGATGTTAAAACCCAGAGGTTCGCACAGGCGGACAACGCGTGCGCCTCCTCTTCCACCAGTTTCGTGACATTCTCCACCGCTTGCTGGGGGAGCTTCCTCGCCGCACAACGTTGGCAGCGCTTGGCTGTGCTGAAAAGCAGTTGCACTTCCAAACCAACAGTTCGACACCCGGCAAGCCAAGGCTTTGTCTAACTGACAAGTTCGTGCCATCTTTCTTCCGCACTCACGCCCACCACGAGCCCAGACCGACCAATGATCGTGCTTTGATGCACTGCGAAACTGGCGTCAGATTTGCGCCGAGGCTGCACTTCGGGTTGTTTCGGAGGGAAGCAGGTCGATGAACAGCAGCCAGCAAATGCCTGCCACAAATCACAATCATGAGGCGGCAATTGGTAAAAAAGTCTTTGTCTGCGTGCGCGTCTTTGTCCCAAGTCAAGCTCCTTCTGTCCATCAAACATCATCACAGTATAGAACCCTCAACAAAGCGCACTGTGTCAACGTGCCATGTGACTGGGCAGGGGGAGGAAAACAAACATCAGCGTCCCCTCCTAACGTTGGTCATTGCTCCGAGGACATTGAGAATCCAGCGTCCATAGCACCACCTCAATGGGGTGCGAAACTGAAAGGATATACCCAGAAATAAAAAAGGATGATACCACATCTGGCAAAGTCTACCCCAATGACTTCCAGGTCCTGGTGCTTATTACAAGAGACTCTTTTGGACCCATTCCATTAAAAAACAAAAAAACAATCTTACTAAGATGCAATCAGAAAAAGGGGCCACGGTTGCCAACAATGTTATAAACTTCTTTGCAGCCAGGTGTCCTCCACGCACCAGTTTCTTGGTGGAGTCAGAGCCAAATCTCTCGACCTCGGGGTGGATTGATTGAGTGGATACAATGGGAGGAATGCATGTAGGTGTGTATTAAAAATAGAGACGTATGAGAGACCTCGACCTGGCGTTCCCAACCCCCAATCTTCCCAAATGGATCTTCTCGGCCCGGCGGCGCTGGTGAATGTGCTTCACCCCTTTCAGTGTCCAGTGCGGATCGAAGAACTCGCCCACACCGATCCTGGCGGACGATCCGCAGCTCTAACGGCAGAACCACAACCTCTTGAAACAACGGCAGAATGGCCAGGAGGGGGGTTGCAAAAAGTAGCTTTAAAAACAATGATGTCCATGGATTTCCTCATATGCTAAAGGTAAGACCATATTCTTCTAAAGGTAAGCCCATATTCTTCTCAGAAGGAGGCTTGGCTTCTAGAATATATAATTATATAGTATTATATATATATATAATCGATCCGAGAACACGGCAGAGGGCGCTTTTCGCTGGTGCTCCAGCGAACTTGTTGGTCAAATGGAAAGGACCATCCCACGACGCCGCGCGGTCGACCGTCCTGAAGTCCATGGAGATGCGACAGAAGGGCGAGCTGTTGGCAGGCACATGATGCCGGCAGAGGGTACCGTGAAAGACGGCGATCTCGCCATAGCCTTGGGTGAAAGACTCATAGCCTTGGGCGCCCAGTTGGAGTGGAGAGTGGAGCGGTGTATGGATCCATTATATATTTGGACGACTGTGAGAATAAGTCGGCTTTTGCCACCTGGGCCGTTGTTGCTTCGTGAAGACCAAACGGATGCCCTGACAAAACGGATGCCCTGAAAGTGTGGAGTGGATGCGTAAGCAACATCACATGCAGGCGCCTGTCTTCCCGAGTTGTCACCGATTGGTCGAAACGCGTCATGTGGAACTCAACAGCTCACACCAAGACAAAGGCTGGACTCTATCTTGGATGTGCGTCCAAGGACCGGACATGGTGAACTTGGTGAGCAAATTGCACCATGTCTGGAGCATTCTCAGATGGGTCTGCAGGGTTCTCAGAACAAGTGGTGAAACCCCCGCAGTTTTCAGGGGCTGTACCCGACTTCAGCTCGCAGAAACCGCCGACCTTCGATCCGAAGGGCTCATCTCCAGCGGCTGGTAGTCTCCCTTGCCCGGCTCTGATTCCACCCACCTCGTGATCAAAAGTCACAACAAAATTTCTCCAGCATACCATACCCTCACGAGAGGGGCAGCAAAAGACAGAATGGGTAAGCTGGGGCAGAGGACTCTTTCTTGGGCAGCAAAAGAGAGAAGAGATGAGATGGGGCAAAGACAGAATGCTCACTGGGCACCGTGGTTGTTCCATCAGCCCCAAAACCTGGCCCAAGACGTGCTGTCCCAGGTGCAACGTGCTTCGGGTTAGGCTGTAGTCCTTGGACAATGATGGAACCAAATAGCCGGGTCTTCTGGCTGCCAACCATCCAAGCATGGTGGACGTGGAGGTACAAACCACTCGGTACCACAATCATTGAATTTCCTGGTGACATGCCTTATGTCTATTTCCGGATGACACTGCTCGCATGGTAATGACTGCCCAAAAGTATCCAACTGTCGCTTATCATGAACTGTCTGAGGCCATCTTCCCTTAATCACAGACGATCGCTGCAAAAAAAGAAGGGAATACACACAACCTGCAGTGCCCCAGGGTTCTTTCGGTCCTTTCACCAATTTCACCCAAGTCTCGGTCAAGGGCATCCAAAAGTTTAACTCTCCTACCTCAGCAGCATCGATTTGTTGGCACCATCGAGAGGTTCCGATGAGTCCGAAGACTGATGTCTTCCTTTATTGTACCAATATAAATGACTGACAAATGGAACCATGTCTTTCTCAAACGCGACCACCGTGACCGGTCTCATCGGCGGGCCTGAGACCGGCGAACGGAACATGTTCACTGCATCACCGTAGGATTCACAAGCCGCCCTTGATTCATCCCTTCATCTTTGCCTTCACACGCAAGACATACATAGGCATGAATCCTGGTTTGCGTATCAGTTGTCAATCAAAGAGCTCCAGTGCCCCACAATTCGGCCGTGCTGGCATGAGGAGGAGATGGCAAACACGGATGGCTTTTGGATCTGGAAGCACCCCACTTCAGGGCGGGAAGTTGATTGAGACATATAGTCTGGCAAGCCGCCGAAGTGACCACTTTACCAGGCGCAAATGGAATGGATAAAATGGAGATATGTAATATATTCTAATATCTACGATCAGATTCTTGAGAACTGGCGGACGGTTTAGTCCCATCGCTCATGACCAAGATACTTGGTGGCCATACTCCGCGTCCCGATGCGGTCGCTTGAACCTGATGGTCTTACAAGTACCACCAGGTCAAGGAGATCAATATCTGCAAGACGCATGGTCTTACCACCTCCAAAACCACTCACATCTCCTTCCTTAAACAAAGTGACGGAGTGGAGAGTGACCATAGGGTTTGGATGTGTAGGTGTAAGTTGATTGATCACAAAGCCACATGTTTAAAGCGTTCTGAGAAAGAGCGATTGAAATGGAGAGGTCAAGCAGTGTTATATTTACAGAGGTTCTTTTTTTTCACTAGTGACACTAGTAGCACACTTTGGCGGAAGCACCAGGAGAGTACATAGCTGAGACGTTCGTGACCAAGTTGGCCTGCGTTCTGAATATTCTGAAGCTGCTTCGGTAAGTATGTCTTGAGGCTTTCCCTGGCAATCACTCCTGTTGCTTCTTATTCAACTTCTGTGTCTAGCCTATCGCCGCGACGGCTCTCAAGACCGTGTTCGTTCCCACGGGGACTGCACACAACAGAAGCTCCACCGGTGTCCCGTTTTGATGCAGGATGCTGCATGATCTATCCAAGCATCACCAAATACCATCCTCACGGTGGCCGCAAACAACAGTCCCACCAATCCAAGCCACACAGCAACACAGGCCCACCAACTGCCTCTCCCCGGCTGGATTGGAATCCCAGCAACTCCTCACTGTTCCCGGGCTGTAGCCGCAAGGTGGGCGGAAATTGGTAGGAGAAGCGTGTTCTCTCGGACAGCTCAGCCTGTTGCTTCAACCAGGGCACCAGGACCTTCCTGAGCGTCGCCGAGGCCAGGCAGCGACTCACACGGCAAGTTGGCACTGCCGTCGTGCCGCTGCCAGATGGATCTGGTGTCTTTAGAGGTCTTTTGGGATCTTTGGGGTCAGTTGCAGATTTCCCACCTCGACGGGTTGAGAGGAAAGTGGGTGAGAGGTCCACTGGACATCCGCGGAACATGTTGCGTTGTTATGTCTTTGTTACATGTTCGGTGATCCAAAGAAGTTCCCCACATCTAAGACCTCTGCATTTGGTCATCGGCAGGCCGGCGTGTTCGCCCTCGTCTGTGCGGCCACGAGGGTGGCTGGTGTGTTTCTTCTGCATGTTGCCATGCTGCAACATGTGTGATGTCCAGTTTTGGAGAAGGAAAACCAATAGGTTTGGGCATGTTTGGCAACATCTGGGATATTTATTTGGTGAATGTGCGACCCCGGCCTTCCTTCAGGCAGCAGGGTGAATTATTGACATATCGTAGTTTACGGGGCTTTTGGTTTGTAGAGTCAGTTGGATGTGGCTTGAGGAAGCATTCCCCTTGCAGCACCAGTTCCACATCCTCTGTGGAACAGAAAGGTACTGTCTACATCTATTTAACATCAATTTACTCTATCACCTCTTGTACTTCACCCACCCAACACGATCCAACACAAAAAAAAAGAACACTGTGGCAAGTCACTGCACCAAGCGCTCATAGACTTCCAGGAATCCAGTGGACTCTTCCACGCACCGATGCAGTGCCTGACGTACCCGGAAGCAACGGAAGATCTCGCCGGGCGCGGTGTACCTTGGACGGGCAAGCGGGTGGGAACAGCGCCCGCCGTGTACCTCGCCCAGTCTTAGAGGTTTGCGTGAGTCTTCCCATGTGAACGGCATCCATGAAGCACCTCTTGGAAGGGAATTGCTTCTCCAAAACGGAAGATGTAAGCCCTGCAAGAACGTTCCTGTGGCACTGGTGCTGGTCTTCAAGTGCCTATGGATGTTCGATGTCTTTTTGACAGAACCACAGAACCGGTTCATGAGGCTGTTCGATTGGAAAATCATGCTCCGGTCTGCTGACTCCATGACTGCTGAGTATTGTTGCACAAAATGCACAAATATGCATGTTGAATCATGTTGTTCATTTTGCATAAAATGTTAATCTGAAAATTCTGAAACGTAACATTCACATCAGATGTTCCGTCATTCTTACGCCCACTTTCAGCACCACGTATATCTTCCACAAACCCCTCCCGAACATCCAGCGCCATAGGGAACCAGAAGCAGCACCGTTCTCTTCAGATGAAACGAAAAAAAGGACACCTGTGGACCCACATGTTTCGCACCTGATCCCCATCACCCTGTGGATCCCCCTCAACAAACTTTCCCAACATCTCAGTCCACACCGGTCTCTTGAGTCACCCAGGTGGCTCCTCGAGTCGATCGCTCTTCCAGGAGCCCAGCTGGGCCTGCACACACGGCGGACGTGGGGTTCAGGCCGGGCTCGGGTTCCGGGCAAGCAACAACGGCCGCGTGTGGCTGAAGCTACACTGACTTTGACTTTGACTAGTGTTTGTGAGTTAAGAACACTGGTTCGAAGTCACTTAACAGGGCGTTTCAAGCGAGGGCATGTGGCTGAACCATGCTGAACCTCCACTCACTCACATGGAAGTGGAAAACCCACTGTTGGTAGAGGAACAAGAGTCTTCCAGTCCATGAGACCCAAGCTTTACACCTAGCATAAGAATCAGCCCAATCGTCACTATAATATAACATATATATATATATATTGTGTTTTTTCTTGGGGGGGTTCACAACTCTAAGATCTTCCACAAATCCATGAAATCCACGAATCCACTGATCAACGATCAGCCCCTCCAGGCCCATCGAAGGGACCTTCTCCAAAACCTCCACGGCCGCCGCCCGCAGATCGTACGCCGCTCCATCGAAGGCCACGCGCGCGGGCCGCCGCAGGCAGGCCGGGAGCGGCGCAACGGCGGGGGGCAGCGCGGCGCAGTAGAGGCGTTCGCCCTTGGGGTCCATTATGGTCCATAAGCCCGCACAGCAAGGGCCCAGAGTCTCACATGAGGCGAGCCGAGAGAGGTGTTTTGGGTGCATAAAGAAAAAGCTGGTGATAGTTTGGTGGCGGATGCAAGAAATGCTGTGAAGTGAGAAATGCGGTGAAGCTGAAGAAGCTCTCAAAAGTTCCTACAAATATTCGTGACTTCAAGCCAAGATGCCGTCATCAGACAGGAACCCCAGATCCCTTCTTTACGTGACTGAGCAGGTGGCAAATGGGTCGGGTAGGTCCGGGTAGGTCAGGCATCAATAACTCACAGCCAAATCTTCAAGCTTGCAAACCTGCTGTTTGTCCCTCCAAGGCTTCTCTCGAGATACCATGAGATACCGAGAAGCACCCGGAGGCACTCGCTCCTCATCTCTGCGAAGGTCTGCTCGGCATGCGAGGCGTAAGCTCTGGCCTCAGACGAGGCGGAGCGGTTCAGTCCGACTCAAGGCGATTGAAAACATCGAGAAATCCGCTGCCATTCGGTGCCAAGGGTTGGGCCTTCATACTTTCCTCGCAGTGACGACTGGGGGTTCCGCAATCTCTCAAATGTGAATTCAAAGTCCAAGAAACGGCATCAAGCATTGCAAGTCTCCCTGCTTTCGCTGGTGAGTTCATACGGCGGCCTTTAGCCACATCGGTCATGCGGAGTTGGAAGTTTGCTTCGGACCTCACCCAGACCCCACGGCCCCTCCAGCCGAGTGCACCGAGTGCACCGAGCCCTGGGCTTCCCGGCCTCTTGAGCCCAATCTCTCGCTTGATCCAGCTCCTGGCCATGCATGGCCATGCTGGGCTGTCTGACCCGAAGAAACCTCCCAACAGGCTCTTAGGTGTTTTCTTCAGGTCATCTTTGCAGAACCTCAAAGAGTTCTTCCACGTGGACCCGTCTTTCACAATTATCCTTTCTTCAGCATCTCTGTACGGTTCCAGGGGTCAACCGATGTACACCCTCTTTGGACTTAAAGTCACCTCAGGCTTCGCCATAAGAACATTTCACACACCCGTTCAAGTGGTCAGGTCGCTGCAACCATGGAACAACTTGGGAAGTCGATCATGGGGCAAGGACGCTGGCTCCTGGCCTTACTACTAGGAACAAGAAGCTACTAGGGGCTCCTGGCATGGCTACTAGGAGCAAGGACCGGGGCAGTTCTCAATAGAGTCACCTGAAATCTCTTCACCGAACAGCGCGTGGGCGACATCTCGACATCGAGTCCACCCGGAGCCCGGAGCCTGGAGCTGGTGAACATGTTCACCCCCCAAAAAAAAAAGAAAATGGAAGGTCTTCCGCAGCGACGAGAACACCTGCGACCGGTTTTTCAACGTGTCAATTCCAGGCGCCTTTTGGATGGCCTCACGGGGATCCACCTGCCGATGGGAGATTTTCTCACCGAACGTTCCCGTTGCACAAGCACCAGATGCTGCGAAACACCAAACACCATGCACAAACCAAATACCAAACCCAACAAGAACTCTCATCATCACGGTTTTGGTTGACATCGAAGATGAAAACACCAAAAACATTCAAAGAAAAAAAAACACATTCAAAAAGAGCTCTCCCTCTTCTTCCAAGAATGCGTGGTGAATCCTGGTTCATTTTGATCCAAACCTGGTGATCTCACCTTGAAGATCCTTGAAGTCACTTGTGAAGCTGCAAAGGTCTTAGCTTTCGGTTGAAATGTTCAGACAAGGATGATGATGGGACCAAAGGTTTGCATGCCCCATCTTCTTCCTGGAATCACTGGATACTGGATGCACAAACACAAAATCAGTGAGCGTCCAAGTCTTGACGTCTGGATCCACGGCACCCCTCTCAAGATTGGGAGATCGGATCTTCGAAAGCATCCGAAAACAGCTGTCAGAGTGTTTACAGTATACAAAACATATAAGTCAATGCTCACTTCAGTGACTACGGTGATCAAAAAGATAATCTCCCCGGCCCTCTTTGGCTTGGACACTTGGAGATAGCATTCCTCGTCGCCGGGTGTTTTGTGCTGTTTGGTTTGGGGTTGGGGAAATTGCGGACATGAACATCCTGAAGGCATGTCTAGAAGCTAGCACAAAAGCGTTCCAAGAAAACTACGACATCAAGCTCTATTAGGTTCCATGCCCAGAGATCATCTCCACCGAACGATCCCTGCCGCAAAAAACCTGCGCGCTGAGGAAGTCCCTGCTCTGCCGCGCGGCGTCGCGCGCGGAGAGCGCTGCTTGGGCACTCAGCAAGGCCTGAGGGGCAGCGATCGAACTGGGCGGAGTTTGGGAGATTGGGGTCCTTTCACATCTTTTTGTAATCCTCACAGTATTTAAGTCCTATGACATCTTGGAAGCTGATTCACACACTCTCTCTATATAATTATATGGGGTGTATAACACAGGTGCCAAAGCTTCGCTCCTCCGCCTTGTGCATTCAAAAAATGCACGCATGGTGCGGCGTTCCAGCCATGACTCTACAGCATGATTGAGCAAAGCAGTATAGAATTAGCACTTGTTGGGTCAACTCAGCAAGATAAGGGCCAGTTCTCTCGGCAGCAGAGTTCTACAAGTGAAGAAGTCAAACAAGCAGAATGGCTTGAAGGAGTACTAGCCTTGCAGAACCTCTGCCCTGTGGCTGGATTGCCATTGGAACGGAAAATTTTGAAGTTTTCGATTTGTACACGCTGTCTCAAGCACTAGAGATCAGAACAAATCCAACCAGGGTAGATGAAAAAAAGAAATAGAAACGTTAAAGCACTGCCCGTAGAGCCCTTGGTCGATGTTGGCTGGCTGGAATATCTCCAGTTATTTCATTGTGTAAGACCAAGCTCAACATGTGCTTCCCTGGAGCGCGCCTCATGACTGGCCTTGGAGCTTTCAGCTGCCACCTGCGCCACAGCCTCCTGGCGCGAGGAAGGGCGGAGGTAGCTTCTGGCACTCATTAGAGTGGACAACAGGTAGGTACAATGTACAGAAGTGCATGCAGGTGGAGTTGAATGCTATAGGCTATAGCTACTATAGCCAAGCAGCAAGTGGCTGTATGAAGCCAATACTTTGTCAAGATTTACAAGATGGGAGGTGTACCATTACCATTGCCATGAGTCAGGGATGATCAGTGAAATGAAACATCGAGAAGAACTCCAGTGTTTCTGTAGCTAAGACCATGTAGGAGTATATTAATCCGAGCCCCTCCGCAGGTTACTTTAGAGTTTAAAGGAATGCCTCAACGATCTGAGGCCAGGTACTGACCCCAAGGGAGTCCAAAAATTCCGCTAAAGAAGAGCCAACACATGCCCTACTCAGGCCAAAAGCCATGCAGGCTTTTCCATGGCTTTCCCTTTTCCCAAAAAAAACGTCCGGGAATCCTAATTCACCAACCACCCGCGGCTGCCCCAAAACCTTGGCAAAAAAAAACAAAGAAACGCGTCGTCCCTTTCACCGCCCCCGCAAGTTCCAGCGGCCGCCAGTTCCACCCCGCCCGTCTCCCGTCCGTTCACCGGCCGCCGTCGACCTGGGCTGCCCCGACGTGTTCTTCGGCGGCCTTCAGCGCGTGGCGATCAATCCAGGGGACCTCCGGCTGCACGGCACCTGGACGGAGCGTTCCCGTGGGGCGGATCGACGACCGGGGAGAGACCGGTCCAGCTGGGAGAGACCGGTGCAACCGAAAGCCTGCGCGATTCTGACTGCTACAGATTGGATTGCCTACAGCGATCTTTGCTGGGGTGTTCAGGCGCACACCATGAAGATTGATTGGAAAGTTCCATATTGGTTGCAGGCCGTGCATGACCTGCCTAAAGCTTAAGGCTTAAGGGTTAGACTTGTGGGTGACCTTAAACGAGTTCGGGAGACCATTTGATTGAAGCTTTACCCATGTCCATTGTGTGTCAAGAGCTCGACTTCACCCATACAAGGGAGTAGAAAGCATCTTCCTCAGCGCAAATCATCCACCTGGAGATAGATTTTTATCTACAAATCTACATATCCAGTGAAGCACTAAGCCTGTGTCAGAGATGATATCCCAAAAGGAATACCGGACAATCACCTGCGAGCTCAGCGCTCGCACGGGGGTTCCACACGGTCCCCTACGGCGCCTGCCGCCGCCAAGAAGGTCACCAAAAGCCTTCCGAGGTGGGCTCAAGATGACAAGGCTGTGGGTCATGGCACGGTCAAGCTCGAAAAGAGGTGATTCAAAGTATCCATTCACCACCGGGCCGCCCTGTGGGTTCAAAGTGTTTATGCTTTTGGGGGTCTGTGGACTGGAAAAGCCCTAACACTTGAAAAAAGGAAGATCGTCTTCCTGAAGGTCACCTTGCAGGTTATAAGTATAAGTCAGTCTGTGTTGGTTTTTGGGGTGGACAGATATCGAGGAGATACACCCTTTCCCAGGAGCTCAAGGTGGGCATATGTGGGCATACTGTGAAAGGGATTCACTCTTCTGACTACAGTCATTTTCCAGTCCTGCGGTCATTGTCCAGTCCTGCACTCGCTCTGCAAAGGACTTGGACACCTCAACCGGATATCTGCAGCAGCAGAGCGAGTCCACCGGACTTGCAAATCGGAAGGATCCGAAGAAAAGTCCCTGCTGCTGATCGTCTCTTGTTGACCCAGTGAGGCCGATATCAAACATGAGGAAGAAGTGGGACACTTGCCCCAATTAGAGATACTCAGAGGCTTTGACTGGAGAATGGTCAATAGTTCGTGTAGCCGAGCTACCGCAGTAATTTGTCCTACAGCACGTGCTTCCCACAGGGCCCCGCAACCCTTGGACTTCGGCCTCCCTCCAACCCTCCCCCCGCCTCATTGCTGCGGTTCACCCCGGGGAGCCGTTTCACCCCCCCCCCCCGGGGCAGCTAAGTCGATGGGGGCCGGGCGGCACGGTCGGCCGTTTTCGTGATGGATTTCTTCGCCCTTGGGTTGGCAGCTTACCAACAAAAAGCTCCACCGGAAGTGGAGGTCCCTCATGCGCGTCCGCAAAGGGACCTTTTTCAGTTCCCCCGCTGCCGCACTGGAGAAGAAATGTTGTTTATATATAAAGTTTAAAGAAAACCAAGGGGCCCTGCGTATTCACTTCGCTGCGATCTCGGTAAATTAGGTTGGCAAAATGGTCATCCGAAAAACGGGAAGAAAAATGCCTTCTCTTCGCAATCTGCAGTTTGCGATCGGTTCATTGAGGCATGATCTCTTGGTCAAGGCCTCACGGTTTGGATCCCAGTCTTGGGAATGAGGCCTGGGAGCTTCCACTTCTGAGCGTTCAGATCGAATCAGATTCGAGTCCGTGAGATAGGGACGCAGCCAAGCAAGGTGTTTGAAGGGGAACCTCCAATCCATTTTGGCTTCGATTCAGAATTGGAGCAATTTCTTGGTACTTCTTCGCATTTCTTCGTGCCGGTTGAGTGGCAAGTGGGAGGCAGCCAGTTGTTTCTTGATTTGGTTATCTTGGCGGAAACGGTGTAGAATATATCCACTCCACCATCTACACCCAAAGTTCGTGAATTTGTGTGCAAGCTAAGCAAACTCCAGTCGAGTGCAACCCAAGACCAACACATTCCCAGGTGAAGAGACGACCTGCTCCAAGGGGCTCTGGAAACAAACTACCAAGAGTCACCTCTCTCCCGGCTCACCTTTTGCTGTCTCGCCTTCTGGGGTGATGCGGCCGCGCCGCGGAAACTACCGAGTTGGCGGTCCGCGGCCCGGTGGAGTCGCGGTCGGGCCAAGGAGAGGATTCCCCATTCCACCTGAAATCTTCTGAGAAACTGAAAGAGATCTCAAAATGTCTAAAGTGCTTCCAAAAGGAAAGGACAAGGTCCAGCTCAGTCATCACCATCGGTCCATCGAGTCTAGAACAACGGTTTTCAAGTCTCTGGTGGACTGTCCTGGAGAAACGGAGTTGACCGTTGTTTCACACTAGTCCCTCGCTGGCAGAAACCCGGGTCCCATGATCCGTGCGCAGTTTGTGAGAGGCTGGTCATGTCAAATCCAGGCATGTCGTGGGTAGATCTCTTTCATGGTGGTTTTCACCTGGTCCAAAACCCGATCTTGACCACCAAATCAGTCGGAAAGGTGCAGGGATGAGCTTACGAGCTCTTGGTCGCTCGCTCATCCCACCTGCCACTGCAGTTCGCGCCTTGTCCTCTTAGGCACCAACGGTAGGGCTGGCTGAAGGATTCGATTCTTTGGTGATATCAATCCGGAAAGTCTTGTGCCACAAAAAACACAAGGGAGAAACCAGGAAGAGTTTATTGACCATGCATCCATGAACTACTCTCAGAGTGCAAATCAGCACCTTCAGGTGGTGTGGCAGCTACTCGGTCTGGGCCAAAATGATTCCTTGCCCCAAGTCTTTGACATCAATTGCCTGGCTTGGTGAGGATACACTTCATAATCTTCATATCCATTTCCAGTTGACCCGGCCCCAAGAATCGCGCTTGTTCCCCGAAATTAGTTGGAGTCTTGTCAGTCTGACATCCAATATTTCTTCAGTACGTACGAGGCTCGAAGTTGCAAACGCAGAGTCTTTGGGACCTATGAACTTGCTGACAAGTTCTCTCTCTGTCTATCATTACTTTGCTTTCACTGGCACCCCAAAATGTATTTTAGACGGAGGTCCGCTACTAAACCACCAACATTGGGGATTGTGCATCTACTCTCAATCCACTATCATTCAGAACAATGCTCACGTCCACAAACCAACATTCAAACTCTGAGAGTGTTTGCTGCATGATTCGCGCGGCCGCCGTAGCGCTGCAAGTCGAACTGCATGGTTTCAGCACACTGAAAATAATCTGCCAAAACCCAAGAGGACGCCCCCGCCTCAAGGGACCCACTTGTGCTGCAAGTGAGGAGGCATGCTTGACAACGCAAAGACCTTTCTTTCAATGCTCGTGACAACTTTGACGGCCCCATATACTCGGGACTCTGAAATCCCCTTGGATGTTGACATGCAAAAGTCGCAGCCATGGCGCACTCTGCCGGTCAACAAGCTTTTCGTTGTGAACCCAAGTCAGGCAGTGTGGGTCTCCTCAACTTGATCGAAACGCGTGAAAACAAGATCCAAATGGATGTTCTTGAGGAGCCCGCGGGAAGCGCAAATGACTTTTTTGCGACCCATTCAAAAGGCGCTCTATCTCGCGCACGACTTCTCAAAATAGCTTCGCTCACGCCTTGGAAAAGTAGGACTTCAAACCGAATCCCAAAAAGTCAGATCTGCACTCCCTGCCATGATACCTGCCTGTCCCTCACCAAAAGTGGTTGATCATTCGTCTCCAAGACTGGCGTGGACACACACCACTAGACTGGCGTGGTAGGTTCCTTCTAAGGTTTCATTGCCTGCCTTGCAAAAAAAGGCAGGTTTCAATCTGAAATCACCCAAGCAGGGTAATTCTGAGACCTTCCCGGAGAAAGTGTGGAGTGGTCTTCTACCTACTCTGGGAACCTGGTGTTCAGTGGTCTTCAAGCTTTCCATGAAGGTCTCCTTAGGAGAAAGAACCTGGTGCATCAGGGATCCTCACCCTGAGATCACAATGGCGTATACCACCATGGTCCACCATGAACAGTTCTGAGGATGCACGTCAAGTGCTCTATGACCCTTTCCCAAGTGTTTCACGCGAAGCACCTGTTGGGGTGCCAAAGCTTACGGGCAGCCCCGTCCTCCGCTTACCCACGCCCTAGGCGTTGGAAATGCTGCGGTTGAAAATGTTACGGTCTTCTCACGCTGTGGGTGGCCGCAGGATGAATAGAACACCAAGAGCAGCGGGGTTCCCAAACATCCCGAGTTCGATCGCCAAAGAAACCGAGATCAGGAAAGCCACTTGAAGCAATCAGACACTCGAAGGACCTGCAGCCACCCTTCTGAAGAACCCAGAGCAATGCCACAGATTTTTGCCTTGTTAGCACTGCTGCACCTCTCCAGGATTTAGCGGCATTCCCTCCACTCCTCTAAGTGGGTGGGTGTGCTTGCCGCCACATTGTGCGCACAAGGTTTGAACTCGTGCGCATCTATTCAATGACTTCCTACCCTGCGCAGAGCCGGCCAACAATTCCAGGGTGTTCCATCCACATGGATTGGAAAAAAAAAGGCTGCCAAGCCGAGTGATCTTGACATCCGACACCCTGGACAGCTGGCACAGTCCAGGCTCCGCCAAGGATCTTGACAAACCAAAGGGTCTGCACAAATCCCAATCAGGTGGCGGTATCCAACCCTGTCACCCGACATCAGGGTTGGCACGCTCCTGGCCGTCTCAAGTCCAACAAAACAACAAATAGAACGGGGCATCGGACAGCTGCGATATGGTGCCTGCATGTCGTTTGGCACTCCAGAAATCCATTCAGAGGTCAAAGCCTCCAAAATGGACCCAAGTTCTCCCCCTGCTTGCACCACTTCATCTGCCCTGTGCTTATGACTGATCTTTTTGCAGTTCTCCCATACCTGGACCAACAAATCCTGGTTCTAGTTGGTGATGTTGGTGTGTGTGTGTGTGCCACAGTCTGTTTCCAAGAGCTTTAATACGCAGGGGGACGGGTCACCACCGATACTGCCCGTCCAACGAAGAGGGTATCGGTTGGTGCTGAAGCAGTGGAGGACGCTCCACTGTGTACCTGCATCAAACGCAATGACTCCACTGGTTTCCCTTGCCGCTGTTGGTTTGTTTCCATGGTGGTTCTTCGCATGATATCCCCCAAACCAGGTTTCCTTGCACGGCGGGAATTCAGTCTGCTAAGTAATCAGTAACTAGTTTTCTGCAGTCACGCGTCAACCTTTGTTCAAACATCTTCAAGTACTCGGACTTTTCGCCTTTCGGTTCACTCTTTCCTTCCTAGGTCTGCTAAGTAGTCGGTAGCTGCAGATGTGCGAAAACCTTTTGTTAAACAACACTTTTCCGCGGCCTCTACCACCTTTCGGTTCCATCGCCATTTCCGACCTGGGAACTGAGCTAACTGAAAACCAACGTCAGAGTGTGTGCCGCTCTGCCGTCCCACTTGGGTGCAGGGTGTGATCCCCGTCACAGGGGCGCTGAGACCATTCCGGATTGCCGTGCAACTGAATATACGTTTCTCTGCACACGTTGGATTCTCTTAACCGACCTTGTTTCACCACTGTATTCCCAAGCTTCAAAGCCGCCGGGCCTACGGCATCATGACTGACTTGAGACCGTTTCTTGCATTTGACATGCCCATTTTGTTGCCAACTGGACTCTGATCGTTTGGGTTCCCACACCACCCCCCCCCCCCCCCGCCGAGTTCTACTCCCTACCTAATTAGGGTAACAGAGGGAAATGGTACTCGACACACTTGTGTGTCGGTGCCTTTCCCTCTGTTGTCCCTGTTCTAGTCTACTCTACCCGGGCGGTTTAAGACTAAAGTCCCGCTCCCTAACTATTGCACCTAATTGGTTTCCGCTAAGTAGTCAGTGACTCTAGAGTGCTAAGTATTCAGACACACACATGTACACACACATGAACATACACCCCCTCCCTGACCCCCCGCTTTCTTTCTTTCTTGCGCTCTTCGTCGTTTCTTGGGCTTTCTTTCAGGCTTTTTAGGTGGTTCTTGAGGTTCGTTTCCCTGCCCCAGTCAAGGGCTAAGTATTCACCTTTCACTACACCTATCTTTTTCTCCTGCCCTTTTAGCGCTGCTCTTTCTGTCTTTCTTTCTTTCGTGTCTAAGGCTTTTTGGGTGCCTATTTAGGTTTTTTCGCCGGAGCGCCGCAAAGCGGCTGAGTGTGTGTGCCACAGTCTGTTTCCAAGAGCTTTAATACACAGGGGGACGGGTCACCGCCGATACTGCCCGTCCAACGAAGAGGGT